GATAACATGTGAATTTTATATACCAAAACCTGGAAAAAGTTTTTACAATCTACTCGGCGAAACATTAAGTTTAAAAAGATCCCAAAAAGAATAAAAAAGCCTAAAAGAACCCGGGTGAAAAGTAAGAGCCTAAATATGAATGCAACTACTCATAGGTGAACCAAAGAGAGAGCAAATTCTGAAAGGATTTCCGATGAATCCGACCAAGTATAGAGTCCATGATGTTTTGATCCACCTGCTTGAAGATGGCCGTATGGGGAGTCAAGATGGAGTTGTGAAGCCTATTGTTTCTCTCCTTCCATATGTGAAAGACAWTAGATTGGGCAACAAGTCTCTTGAGAGGTCGAATCCTTGTTAGTGGGGGAGAATTGTAACGCCCGTAAACCAAAAATATGTTTTTGGTTATGTGTTGTTGGACACGTATGTTCAATTCGCGAAGGAAGCATCTTTTTAGTGATGTGTCGCGTGACACAACTAGTTGTGTCGAGCGACACACACTAATTTGGATCGACGGTTTATTTTTCTAATCGCTCGGTTTGGGCCGGTTTAGGAGGAAGCCCTAGGGTTTCAGTATAAAAATGCGGGGCTGCGTTTTAGAGTCTTTTTTGGCCGGTTTCGAAGAGAGAAATAGAGTTTCAGAGAAAGTTGAGCTCTCTTGAGTTTGAGAGAGAGATTGAGAGTTTTTTAGGTGTTTTCTGTTGGTTTGGAGGAGACATACGGCAGGAGAGTTTAGGTCGGATTGGAGCGAAACTTTGAGGGTAAGTTTTCTAATCTTTTCTCTTGATGAGGGTGAAAACCGCTTGTAATTTGGTTGAGTATTCGCTGAGTTATGGCGTTTGAAGGTGTGAGGTTGGTGCTGTTTGTGTTGCGATCAGTCCGCTTCGGGAGAGGATTCCCGTCAAACCAGAGAGAATTAGGAGACGATCCTTAAGCCGTTGGAAATCTCTCTCTATCTAGTTTCTATATCAGGTTTCAGATCCTGATTCGGAGGTAATCTCCGTTCTCTGTGTTCTTTTGATTTTAGGGTATCATTTCTAAAATCTCTGGTTTTTTAGTTTCGATCAGAGGACGATCTACATACCGTTGTGTAGATCTCKKTG